TCTTGCAGGAGGCACATAATCAGCATCCTCACCCACAACCCAGGATAGAAACGTGGAGTACAAGAAAGAGGCTTCAAAGGAAGGGAAGGCTGCCTGAAAGGAAAACCCCCAAAGTCTCGGTGGAACCAGACAGCTCAACTGCCTCCGCACCCAAATCGGAAGGGGGGTAAACCCCAGAGCTGGCTCGAGCCACATCCTGAGTTCAATCCTGCCCCAACCTGGAAACCCTTAGGCACTTTGAGGCTGGAAGCAAGGGAGCGGATCAGAGGAAGGATAAACCACGCACATAGGGGAATAAAGAAGTGCAGATGAAGCCAAGGTGAATTTCACCAACACCCATTCCAGGGTCCCTAAATACCAACCAGGGCAGCTCTGTGGCACCCAGCTGAGCACACAACCTATACCACTGCAACCTAGCAAACGTAATATAATATGGTCACTTATTGGTAAGCCCAAATCTCATAAGGAGGGTCATAAAGAAGAACCACACGGGTAGAGCAAACCCCACAGAACTTGGGTGTCACCAACCCAACAGGAAGCATTGCAGAGGCTAAAGGAATGAACATTGCTACATGGCACGGATGATGACCAACTTTTAAACTCTCACGAAGTGAGAGCAGGTTCAGGGAAAATATCCATAGGACCACGAAACCCACAGGGAATTTCCAGGCCCTGAAAGGGAAACCCAAGCAGTAAACCCAGGCACTGGGATTACTATGCTGGACCTAAAAATAAGCCTACACAGCTATAAAGGATCTTGGTGCACTGGGAGAAGTGCATGAGCCACTAGTGAACCCCACTAGCCAAAGATGCTCCTGACCCGAGTTAAGACAGGAAAGTCCCAAGATGCTCGATTTACCCAAGGCAAGGGGCTACCACAAACAAGGTGGCCTTCCAAGGAAGCAACTCCTGAAAACTCCTGGGAAGATAATCACTGCAATGCAAGGGCAGCACTAGAGAACACAGAAGCAAGGTAACCCTGCACACATGCAGTTCCAAGCACTTTCAAAACTAAGCTCATGCCACAATGAAATAACAGGAAATGTCACTAAGGGCAAACACCACAACATAGCTGAACAAGTAGAACACCAGAGCCAGCAAAGAAGAGATGCAACCTATTATGCACTATATCAGCTATTTAGTACTAGTCAAAAGTATGCATCACCCTACTCAAGACCTAGAGCAAAAAAAAAAAAAAAAAAAACATAGAATGTAATGAAATGCCATTTACTGGGCGAGCCCCGGAGGCTCCCTGGAGCGATCAGACTGATATTAGTTATATTAGTCAGGGGCTTCAGTCATACGGAGTTCTTATGCCTACCAGGAACCACGAGCCAGAACCTGGTACCCTCAGAGAGGTGAAGGGAGCAATGGCCTAAGAAAACTTCACTGTTTGAGAGTATATTCAAGTCTGCCATCGACCAGGGTTAGGCAGCCAGAAAGGTAGGCGCCCCAAACCTGACCCTAATTGGTAGAAAATTGCAACCCAAAACTGAACAGAACCCAAGAACCAGCAAGGTACTTCGCCGGCCTGATCTGCTGAAAGAGGCGGAGCTGCAGAAAATGCACTGGGTTCAAACACCGAGGAGCAGCGCCTGAAACCAAGGTTGGGCCGGCCAACATAGGGCCAGAAGGAAAACCCTTCCCTGAAAGAACTCCAGCCGAGCCAGAACCCGAAGCAACATCTGGACTGGAGGGGAAGAGGTACAGGTAACCCCACCTTGACTAGTCCTGCCGAAAAGTGTCTACCACAATGGCTTCACAGTCCGGAAAGGGCACCACATATATTGGGAAATGCCTCTACCACGCCGACGCGAAGAGATGGATGCTAAAAGTCCGGCAAAGCAAACTAAAAGTCGGCGTCAACCGTACACTCCGTGGACAGGAGAATGAACCGAGACAGGCCCTCTGCCTGGACGTTGGACATGCCCCTGACGTAAACTACACAGAAAGCTCAACCCTGAGAACTCAGCAGAAGAGCCACTCGAAGCAACCAGCTCCAAAGAGCCAAGGACCGAAGAGACCCCCCGTGGTTCAGGCAATGAACCACTGGGGTGCAATCCGAATGGAGCTGGATTGTAGAGCCACGAACAAGCCGAATCCGCCGCAGCGAAAGCCACACTGCCGTCAACTCTCGCACCGTGCTGTGAGCCTGACAGCCCACCTCCCTGTCTGGCTTGGTGAGCACTGGTCACAAGGTCCTAGCCAAGAGACAAGGGGTCCTTGAAAACACAAAGCAAGGGTTCCAGAAGGCGCCAAGGCACCGAACCCCGAAAACCCCGAAGAGGAAGCCGAAGACGCAACAACTGACGCAAAGCCCCCAGTGGACGAACTTGGCAATCTCGAAAGCAGTGGAAGGGACGGCCCCAAAGGAACCAGAACAGATGCCGGATCCAAACCCAACCCAGCAGGTAAACCAGCATGGCGAAGTTCAGTCGAGCAACTGCCGAGTGATCTGGAACCTCTTCAAGAACAGTCGAAGGCGGGACTGCAGCCGGAGCAACGCTGCAGGAAGGAGAGATATGGATGCTGTCTGAATATCCCAGACAAGGCCAAGCCAAGTCCGAGCCTAGGATGAAACCAAATTGGCCTTCCTCCAGTTCACCAGGAACCCGAACTCGGCGAGCTGGGAAAAAAACAATCCCCTGCCGAGCAGACAAGCAGACTGGCTGGGAACCCATACCAACCAGTCGTCAAGATAGGCAAAAACCCGAGCACCTAGCAGACACAGACGGGCCACTATGACCCGGGTAAGATGTGTAAAAAATGCGAGGTGCCAGATTCAGCCCAAAGGGAAGGCAACGAAAGCAGTAAGCCTGCCACCCCACCACAAAACCCCGGATGAATGGGGGATGTGCCAATACGCATCCCGGAGGTCAAGAGACACCATCCAAGAACCCGGCTCCAAGAGAAGCCAGACCTGGGACAAAGTGGTCATCCGAAACGAGGGGTAAGGAATCCAGCGGTTCAGATGGGACAAGTCCACAATGAACTAAAGATCCACACAGTCCCGTTTCGGCACTGGAAACAAGCAAGAAACCCACTTGAAAGACGAAATCATTTTGACCACGCCCCAGTGCACCCACTCTAGGATGACCCGACGGAGCAAAGGGGAAGAAGCCTACCCCGCCAGCCCCGATCCTCCAAGAGTAGGAGGACCCGCCCAATGCCACCACAGGCCAGAAGACACGACCCGAAATGCCCACAAATCGTGGGGACCAAGCATGGGCAAACAGAGCCAGCCTCATGACCAGGTCCTGTCAACAGGGCAACCCACAAAAGGGCCGGCGCCCCTTCTAAGAAGCCAACTTATGTGCAGAGCGACCACTGTGCCGACCAGACAAAGACAGCTCCAGAGGAGGCACCTGTACGAGAAGTGCAAGAATGCCTACTCCGGATCACCAACAAATCGGAAATAGGATGGCAACTAGCAGAGTCCGCCTGCAAAAACTGAGAAAGAACAGAGTCCGAGAACAATAACAGACAGAAAGGAGACAAAAACTTAAGAGCCAGGGCCCAAGCCAAATCAATGGAGAGAGAGAGAGAAGACAGCCTGCCGACATGCGTGGCAAGAGGCAAAAAACAGACACCGTATCCCGGAGGACAGGTGCATAGTTTCAGCAACGCTGCCGACGCCCTAGCAGCCAAGGCCAACACCCCAGACGACGGCCCAGCACTCAGCGCCTCCACATCCTCCACAAGCCAATCCGAGGACAGCTCGAGGAGGGGAAAAAAAGACGCGCAGGACCGAGACCAGATGCCTGCGAGTGCGAAGATCCTCCACAATCAAGGCAAGCAAAAGGGAAGGAACCTGGGCATGTAACTGGAGCAAGTCAACCTCACGGAGAAGCACACGGTCTGTGTTACAGGGGCATGAAGACATGCATTGAAGTGCTCAAAAGTGGCCCCCCCCCAGGGTAAACCTGCAATACCGTAATAACCTTCCGCCAATCCAGCGTGCAGGTACAACAGAACCCATGACATGCCCCAATCAAAAAGAAAGAGCAGTCTGCAAGTCTGGAAGATGCAGAAACCTCATAATGCACCCAATATGAGGAAGAGGAATCGAACTCAAGAGAGACTGGGTCCATCACAAAGACAAAGTCCAGGTCTTGCAGGAGATACGTACCCAGTGCCTCCCAAACCTCCGCAGGGTAAATCCAAGAGGTGGAAAATCACTGGTAAGACGAGCCGTGGAACCCAAAGGAACCCAGGAACGAACCCTGAAACAAAGCCTTGGTGGGAGGATCAGGCTCAAAAAGCCTTCATCCTTGCATCAAATGGGGCAGCCCCCGGAGTCGCCCAAGTCTCATTCCCCAACTAACCCCACCCCAAGTCTGAAACCCTTAGACATTTGAGAGCCAGCAGCAGGGCGAACCACACCTACAGGAAAAGGACTCAGGGGAGCGGATTGAACCAAGGTCAAAGTGACCAACGCCCCAAAGTCCGAGTCCCTAAAACCAAAATGGGGCAGCCCCGGGTCATTCGAACGAGCAACCAACCTAGCGTGTTGCAACAACCTAAACCTAGCATGCAACGCAACAGCTGCTTAACCCCTAATATCTCCCAAAGAAGAATGGGTAAATTGGATAACAAGCAGGAAACAAGTCTCGCACAATTCCAGGTCGAAGGTGTCATCGACCCAACAAGCAGTATAACGGAGGCATAACAGTTGATCGTCACTGAGACAAGGGCAACGAGGTCTATATATTATTATATAATCAGTAGTCAAGGTAACAATATACAATCTGGAATAATCCTGCAGCCACTTATAAAATTATTCGATCTCAAACTAAACCTTTACTTTTGGTTCTTAGGCATTTAGATCACATTGAGTGATAAGCCAAAGTTTGAAACAAATATAAAATATTGTAACTTTTTCACTACCTCTTAATATGGCATGAATGTAAATTATGTGACGTTATACAAAATTAACAACCAAACATGTTCCATTTCCCTGAAGTAGCCACTTCTTGTTAAATTGCAAAAGTAACACTCACCAGCTGGTGTGCCTGTGCGCCAGGTTGCCCTAACGCTAGTGACGCGAGGTCCTGGTTACCCTCGGCAACGAAACCTTCTCCAAGAGCAAGTCTCCTGGCCATATCACCTCCACCTGGCCACTGAAGCAAAATAAATAAATAAAATAAAATACAAAATAAGAACTGAATTAACATAACTGTTTACACTGAGTATCTAATATACTTAAATTATTCAAACTTCTCAGAAGATTCTGATGGTCATTTTTATACTGTAAGATTTAATAATTCAAATGAAAGACAGTGGAACCTCAATAGTCTAGAATTCAGTACCCTATCTTACAGCCACTAATGTACAAAAAAAAACAAAAAAAAATTTGCCCCTACTCTCATACACAAATATTTTAACATAAAAGGATTTCACTACTTTTGACACTCCCTCCTATATCATTATCTTTAAAACCTCCTACAATACTTCATGATAATCCAGTCATACATTTTTCTAAACCCATAAAGGCAGCATACAACTTTCTACCCTTTGCTAAAAACTTTTTGACAAGCATTCTTTCAGTAAATAGCTGACCTGTACAACACCCAATTTCTCCTGTACTCTAAATTCTAATTTCTTTCTTAACTTTTAATTTGCATCCCTGCATAAACTTCCCCTGGAATAATAAACAAACTTAAGGACTTCACATTCTTTCCCCACTATCCTTTCCCTTATATAGAGGAACCACACTGACATGGTCCAATCTTCTGGCATCTCACCCTCCTGACAAGTAATCCAACATACATACATTCCTTCCAATGTAAAATCTTGACTTTTTATCACAAATCAAGCAACTGCTTTGGTATCGAAAGTGCTTGACTTTAAGAGATTTCACTGTACTTGCATCAACTACTGTATGTGATTTAGCACACCAAGATAGGTACTACAAGATTATAGAAGTACTATTTGTTTGAACTTGAAGCAGTGAAGATAAGAAATTCAATCTCTTCGCAAGATGGCACAAGACTGAAAAAATGAGAATGCTGGAAGTGATAGAAGATTTACTGCATTCATCACAAAGACTTTAATGCTAGGCTTTCATTTATAGTAAATAATCCCCTCACCCTAACATATAATTGAATCTGCCACACAAAGCTAAATAACAAACTGAGCTACAAAGCACTTCATAATGTTAACCCTTAGAGAGCAGCTATTGAAAAATAGTCATTCTTGCCTATGTGCAAAAAATTTGAAAATTGAAAAACCAAAGTTGAATGTAATGAAACGACATATGACGATAACCACAATACCACATGCATCAAAGTATAACGATAACTGCTGTCTGAGGGTTAAAGAAGCTGCAAATGATAGATATCTCTGGGACTCACTGCCTGCATTCCTGAGGGCCCTGCTAAGGCTTCAATGACTGCCTCATGGAGTGGAGGTGGTTGTGTAAGAGCTGACTGTGTAAGCACATCCTGATCTGAAGACATGTGGTCATATTTAGGTGTCAAAAGACCGACCTGGTCTTGGCCTCCACCTGATGAGTCTCCAGTCAAGCAATCATAATTGTGGTCTGGTTCAGATGTGTCATTGTGACTATCTATCAAATCGTCTACTACTTCCTCTTTGACTAGCGATTCATCAAGAGTAACCTGAAAAGAAAACATACGAGTGAAAAAAAACACTAATACAATGTCACAAGCTATAGATACTAAGTTACCCTTCACAATGTAACAGGATTACTGTACTGTATATCATTCAGGACCCTATCAAGATTTACACACAAATAATATATATAAACTAATGATTTTTTGGTGGGGTATAAGTATTTTTTTGGATTCTTGGCTCTGGTAGTAGAATTTGGGAGCTTCATGCTTTTCTTTGGAGGAGGGGATTTTATTATGTCCCTATGGGCAATTTGATCATTTGCAGCCATCTCCTCCTCTTCTGGCGAAGAATGAGTCGGCTGGCTATTGGCGGTGACTCTTGGTGATTGACGCTTGGTTGGTGTGGCCGGAGGTGCATCATTTGTTTTGTCTGGATGTGGTGCTTTGCAGCTCCCTGCATGCTACCAGTTGATCTAGGAAGCAGATTTCAACCATTCACCATGTGCATTTAAGCTTCATTTGTTATATTTACTCTTAAAGTTGTGAAAGGCAGTGATTCCACTACTGTACTGCTTTCACTGTATTCCACTTGTTCACTACCCTAACTAATAATGAGTGTTTTCTTATTGTTCTGGTTTATTTACATTTTACCTCTCGCTTATTTCTCCGCCTATTTTCTCTTAAGTTGAAAATGCTGTCCTTGTCCACTTTATCTATTTTGCCACAATATTTTGAATGAAGTGATCATATTCCCTCTGGTCATTCTCTCCTTTGGAGTTGTTAGATTAGACCTTTTAACTGAGTTGTTGTACTCTAGATTTAATTTTTTTTTTTAACTAGATGGAGAATAAAAATCAATGCTGTGTAAATTACAGTGGTATCTTGAAAGAATGTTTCAGTTTTTGAATGCAATTCTAAAGTTTGTGAGTTTTCCAAATGCTGGCACAAATGTTAAGGTGCCACTGCTAATATTATGTCTACTCCCAAGTCATTCAGATATTTTTTGGTCTCCTTTCTCTAATTCCCTTCTTCATTACCCTACACTTGCTACAGTTGAACTCTGCTATTTGTCTGTCTACTCTGACAGTTCGTCAATGCTTATTAGTTTTGACATTCAGTAGGTTATTAACATAAATTAGGAATAGTGATGGGCCCAGGACCATGTAGAATACAGAATAATGTAAATGAAACAATTTATATGTTAGTAAATAACAATGTCAAACTACACTAACAATGCAATCCATTTCCTCCCAAATGCAATAGACTTACTTTTTATTTTATCCAGTGCATTCCAACACTACTACTTAACCTTTTTTATATTATTCTTACAATAAGCAAAACAGCATCACAGCATCTGAATGCAGTAATAAAGGGAGCTCACATGTTCTGCCAAGATACAACTCCATTCCACAATAGTTCTTCAAACAATATAATTCATTTTATAATACAAATTTTGTTAATGTATTCCCTTTCTTAGTAACAATGAAAACATGTATCAGTTAAGTCAAATACACACCTGAACTTTGGCAGTGAGGGAATCTTGAGTGACGGAAGGATAGTCTACTCTATCTTCTTGTTCTGTCTCGCCTCTCAATCTTACATCCTGGTCTTCTGCCCATGTATTCTGGTCTTCTTGCAGTTGGTCACCATCCACAGACCGTGATGTGCCTTTAGAAGGAGAACTACTTTTGGAGTGTATGTCTTCGTGAGGCGAGTCACTCTCAATTCTTCGCCGTCGCTTTGGATGAGGACTACTTCTGTCATCACTAGAGCTGTGAGACTGTTTTGTCTTTGTGTATGGGCTACTTCTCTCATATGAGTGTCTACTTCTTATGTGAGGGCTAGCTCTATCATCACTATTTCGTTGATGATGAGCCGTCTTACTACTGTTAGGGGGTTCATCTGGTACTGCTAGACCTTTAATCTGCAGTAACTCTGCCACTTTTATCAATCGAGCCAAGTCAGTCTGTGCAACACTCACAACACCAGCATACATGTAGCTCAACAGGGCCTCTAGTTCATCACACTGGACATCTCTCAGCACAACCACTGGATGTTTGCAAGGTGTGTGTTCAAACATATTTTCAAAATATTCACTACATGTTGAAAGCACCAACTTATGAACTGGATAAAATTTACCGTCGCAAGCCAAAGTTACATCTGTGTATCTCTCCTGTCAGGAAATAAGAAACAAATTATTAACTTTAGGCCATAATTACATATACAGTAAAATGTATATCAGTAAATTATTTTATATGCACCCAATTATCATTTGATCAACTTATTACTATACTTATAAGCACATTAATACACAATTGTAACAGATTTAAGCGTATTGTAGTTTCTTTGTCAATGTTTTCATTGTCAATGTTTGTCAATGTTAATGAGGGGAATTCTTGGACAGTGAGATCAGGATTCCAGGATATAACCTATACAGGTGTGATAGGATAATTAGGTCACATGGAGGAGTGGGTCTGTAAATTAGGGAAGACCTTGTATGCTCAGAGCTCCTTAACGTTACAAATGAGGTGGTAGAAGTACTGGGATTAAAAATAGAGAAAATAAATTAGTGATTATTCTAATATACAAACGGCCAGATGCAACGGCCAAGGAATTCACAGAACAGATAAACAAAATAGAGAATACAGTAGCCTTGATAATTTAGAGAACCCGATACCTGATATTATCTTCCTAGGAGACTTCAACTTGCCTAGTCTCAGATGGAGACTAGCAATCAATAATATTATACAGTACCAGGAAATCTATCGTGACCTAACCAACCACAGATTAGAAAACTACTCAGATTCTGTGACAAATTTTCACTCAACCAGCAGATATCAGAGCCAACGAGAAATGAAAATATTCTAGATCTGGTCTTTGCGAACAATTAAGATATTATCAGGGACATTACTATATTAGATACCACATACTCAGATCACAAACTCATTGAAGTGCAAACGACCATCAATACTCAGAATAGACCTAAAACGTTGATCAAGCAAAAGGGGTTATTCAGTAAATTAAATTTTAATAATAAAAGGATAGACTGGGGGAAAATAAACAGGCAACTTACAAACATTCCATGGGAAACTGTTCTAAGTAATACAAGTCCTACAGAAGGAATTGAAAAACTGACTTCGGAAGCGTATCAAGTCTGTCTGAAACATGTTCCTTCGAGGAAAGCCAGAAAGAGATCGAACATAGAAAGAGAACGCAGACGACACTATAAAAGAAGAAAAAAAATAACAAATGCTTAAGCAGACACGACTTTCCCGTCAAAGAAGGAATAATTTAAAGAGTGTAATTGAAGAAATCAAGTGGAAACTGAAACCCTGAAACACAAATTGAAACAACAGCCTGGTCAACCAGACCCCCTAATTAGGAGGCAATGGCCATGGGAACATTGATCCCCATAACCAACAACATGCAGACAACAAGTAGGCAGAGTATGTCCAATATAAAAATTCAATGCAGGATTTACTAAGGATCCCCCTGTACAAAAACTACCTGTATAGCCAGATATTTGTCCATCAACCCCAACTAAAGCTTAAGATGCTTCAGAACTTTTACCCAAAAAACTTGACCAAAAAATGTCTGAGGGTGCATGTTGGTGCACACCAGTCACTGATCTTACATGGTGGCTGCGAACACCTGCTATTGCTACAACCTGCTTATATAAATAACCCACTTGTCTTTGCTCCAGTTTAGATTTTACTGTCTTACCTTTATGATTAATTAATATTCTGAGCTTACACTGTATTATCAAAGACAGTTTGTGTTTCACCCATTCAATTCATTAATTAAATATGCCTTATGCATCATTAAATTTAATTTTCCTTAATTTTAGTAGTTATATTACTAAGTATATAATTTTTCTAATGCTACTCCAGTATATGATACTGTACTACCTTAGCTCTGAGTGAGGCCAGTGTGTGGCAGAAAGTTGCACTGTGATTGTTCCAAGATAATGATAGCATTCCATCTGTCATCTTGGCCTCGATTATACCTGTCGAAAGAGGAAACCAAAATTATTTAGGGAAATAATTGAAAGATATAAATTTGTAAAGTAAAATTATCGCAGTGCTGTCATAAGCATTATTAAGTCTGTCATAAGCATTATATTAGAGCATTGAAAGCAATATGTAATGGCTGTGCATATCTGTTGGTACAGTTCTGTACTATACATAATCTAATCAGAGAAATATTATACAATACATTTAATGAACAGAAAACATCAGACATTCAAGTAAAATATTGCCTGAAGTAAAATTTTATCTCTGTACAGCTCCATGGAGCTCTTAATGGCTTAACATTATGTCAGAACTGTATTTTAATTAAATTTGAGCATATAACATGTTAGTAATATAGTCTGTATATGTATTTTCTATGAATTTTTGAAATAAAGCCTCATCTATTAATGAGGCAGCCCTAGCTGCTCGCAGTGTGCACAACACAAGTCTTTATAGTAATTTAACAATTGTACAGCAAATCATTGGTTATTACACTCTTTATAATTTTAGGCACTGAAATATTTGTACTGTATATGATTGGTCTATCATATGATAGGTTACAAAATAAAAATATATTTTGTAAATTTGTAAATTGGACTACTGTACCTATTTTTGAAGGGTTTGCATTTGTGATACATACTGAACATTCTCATTGAACAAATTCTTATTAAGGTTGATCCACAGACTGCAACTGTGCAAACTTGCATACTAATTGCTGCACACACACAAAGCTCAGAAGAAGCACTGCAGAGAAGGCACTAAATTGTTATGATTGTAAGTATTCCTCAAAGTGGTATATGACATTACAGTACAGTATAGTTCATTCTCCAATACAGCAGTTTCCATAAAGAAGTGTTATGGTATTTAACTGAAAATTAAATTTCACTAAGGTGAAGTATGCTGCTTTCATGATTTGTATTTTTTTACTCCTGGTAACAAAGCCATCCTAAAATAAAGCTTTTATCAAAAAGAGACTGTTTAACTATATTATTTAACATTAAATAGTTAACATTTAGCTATTTAACTTTTTTGTTTAATTTGGAACTTTTTATATATTCAAGATAAAAAGTCACATCCTGTGATCTTGGAATAAACAAAATTGAAATTTAATGTAAAACTATTTTTAATAAAACCAATAAGCTTCAAAACAAGCACAACATATAGGTTCTACCCTAATTAGAAGCAAAGTTATGAAAGTTTTTGTTGAGCTTTTAAGCAAAAATGTTGCATTTTTTCAAACTGGCAACCCCGTTGCATGAGTAATGTGCATCGCTGTGCTAAAATTGGGTTGAAAAGTCTATTTATTTGCGATCTAATATGGAATGACCCTTATTGCCTATTAAACTAAACGGTTGTGGGGTATGATGTGTGTCATTCTTGGTAGTGATGGAGTGGTAGTCATTGGAAGCTTGAAACAAACACTTTTAGCTCCTAGCCTACAGCTTTTGGTTAAACTACTGTACAGAATAAAAATTTTCAACTCTTCATATATGGTATAACATGTTAAAATATGGCAGACATCTTAAAACAAACAATTGGAATTAAAAATTAAGAACTTTTTATTTTCCATGTTTAGTGCAAAGCTTTAAATTAAAAATCTTAAGCCAAATATTTATTTGATTCTTACAGGCTATCTTTATGAAAGGTGTTTTCATTAATTTACTTTTTTTCAGAAAAATGTAGGATTTTCAAGTAGTAGAATGAAATCAACGACTGTCATTCATGAGTTCCAAATCTGCAAATTACAAATTGACAAAATATACTATACAGTACAGTACTGTACTTTGAATCTACCACACAGAATCTAGACACATTTTGAATATCACCACATTCAGCCAATATCTGAACATGTTCAGATATTGGTTAGTACATACGGTTAGTACGCGCATATGGTTAGTACACGCAATAATATGTAGCTACCTCACACTACCTTCTTCTTGGTGGTAGGTGCAGTACACTACCATACCATCATTACAACCTTTCCACTACGACACTACTATGTATTAATTAAATATTCTTCACACTAAGGCTGTACACCAGCTCAACACTAGCTCATGGGGGAAGGGTCTAAAACAGTTGACAGATTTACTCACATAAAACGGGGACGGTGGAAAGTAGCAATTACTAAAAAATACAAAACACAGTTTATAACAATGAAGACGGTCCTCCGTGTTTGTTTGGTTCCAATATTCCCATCAGAACTGGCGTAGGCTAACTCTTCAGAAAGTAAACATCTGGTATTCTAAGATATTTAGACGTGAATATGTAATCCAGAAAAATAAATTATAAATGAACTGGAAATTAAATTAATAGAGATTGAATATTTGTGACATACTTTATCAGAAACATTTACGCTGATGACGCTTTCTCACAAACACCAACGTCCAAGGTTTTTTTTGTGAATGTCAAAATAAAATAAGTGTAACTTTATCTATGAAGTTCCAAGCCGTTACTGCATTACAATCGTGCAATGTAATTGCATTTGCAATATATATTATTATTAGTTTTTAACCACCTAGGCTACAAGAAACCTCTATTTCTGTAAGGTTGAGACCCCTGATTCTGGGAGATGCTTGCTCGGATTCTTGGCGCGCATATGGTTAGTTATGTACAAATACGGTTCGTATGCGATTTGTAATGCTAATTTTAATATAGCAAAACTAAGGAGGGCATTTAGCTTATTATTATATGCATTAATAATGTATGAATTATAATGCAGTATATGTGTGTGTGTATACAAAGCTATTTCAAGATACGAAATATAGTTAAAAATTAAAATGTGTAGATACGAAATGTCTAGTGAGAAACAAATATTATTATTATTATTTTTGATTTACCTAAAGGCCACTAGCCCACGTGGCCTCCGCGAGAACAGGAAGCCGGCGGTCTAATCATCAAGTTCAAGTTCAAGTATGTTTATTGAGATAAGCAATAAATACATCTCAAAGGGATAGAGTAGCTTAGGCTATTTCTACCCCCATCTACTTCAAGTCCCTCAAGGGGCGCACAAATACTGTGAGTACAAATAGACAAATAACATTACAAGAATCCCATTTAACATTGCAAAGGAACCAACCCACATTGGTGGGGGGAAGCTGGATCTCACGTTTGTATCCACCAGTATTTATGAGTTGTGTCATTGATCAGTTGACCATGTACTGACTAGTGACCACTTTGCTACAGAAACAGTTATTAATTTAGCACTACCTCCCAGACCTCCAGCTCCCGAGCCTGGATGGGACTTTATCAAAGCAGATTGGACGAAGTTTCAGGAATCTCTCGTAACTTGGCACCAAAACTACACTCCTCCTGACAACACCGAAGAAATGGAAAAGATTTAGTAAATGCAATACATAGTTTAGTTTAGTTTAGTTCATTTATTATGCACTCCATACCCATCTTGTGGGCGGTAGTGGAAAGGGTTACAGAGGCACATAATGGGCTCAGGGACTGAACCCCACAATTCATATAGCTAAGCAAGTTACAATCTTAATAAGCAATACATAGAGCAGCGAATCACGCCATCCCCAAGGGGAAAACAATTACCCAACAACATAAGGACCATTCGTATTACTCTGATAGGATCAAAGAGCTACATAACAGACTAAGAACACTGTTTTCCCAAAAACGGTGGGTTTCCTGAGGGAAGAGAACGTATGTCTGGAAGCTGACTTTAACCGCCCCAAGCTGCGCGCGCAACAAGCCGAGGTTATATAAACACGGACGCAGACGGCGTGGCCCTCTTCACAAGCCAGCAGCTGCTCTCTTACAAAACGCCCACCCTCCACCCGGGATCCTCTGCATCCTCTGTTTTATTTTTGAAAGGGACGGCCCACAGACGTGCTCAAAGGGCACTTGTTCTAGCATGCTAAGCATTTGCTGTATCTTTGGGGGTGCTCCGCCGGAACCCCCAAAGTGATAAACCTGCAGATAGCTAAGAAATATTCCCATGAATTGTAATTAGTGTAATTAAATTAATGCAATTTTCATTTACTACCTATGGATGTAGTTATTAATTGTAATTGATTTATACTTTATCATTAAGGATTATTCATTATAATTATTCCTTAATACTTTATTGTTATGCACTAGTCAATAATTATTTATCATTCATCCTAACTAGCTATTTGATTCATTAAAAATAATTGCTTATCATTATACTATTTATTATTATTATTTATTATATAATAATAAATTTATTATTTATTAATTTATTATATATTAATTTATTATTTACCATTATAAAATAAACAAGTCCCCTATCTGAGCACGTTTTCTTCCAACCTCAGAAAAAATTGTGCACGAAAGAATTTAAGAAGAGATAGAACCGAAGCTAATTTAGGACTTCTCAGAGCAGTCCGAGATCATGTGCACGAAGAAACAGCAAAAATCAAAGAAGAAAAATGGCTTGAGTGGTGCGCCAAACTAAATCAGCATACATCCTTGGGTGACATCTGGAGGCTGATCAACAAGGCCAAAGGAAAATCGCTTCCTACTCCGCCGCATCATATTCATCCAGAGCAAGAAGCAGAAAGGTTAGCAAATCTATTTGCTTCAAGAGCCAGTTCCACTCAACTTCCTCAAGTAACTCTGACTCACCAACAAAGACTTCAAGCAGCAAGATGGAAAAAAATAGATGATGCTTTAGCCTTACTTGAACTAGACCAACCTAATCCAGGTGGGGGCGCATAGGCCTATATAATTGGCAGAAGAATTATGCCTACCGCTGAAATTACCTTTCACAAAATCTCTGGACCAAGGGATAGTCCCCCTAGATTGGAAATATGTAAATATTACTCCTATTTTCAATAAAGGCAGAAAGATATTTAGACAAAGGACTTCCGGTGGATGTAGTATATATGACTTTTGCTAAAGCCTTTGATAAGATACCACATGAAAGACTGGCAAGGAAATTGTAGGCACATGAAATAAATGCTGGAATACTAGAATGGATAAAACAATGGTTAAAACAAAATGAAACAATCGTGCTAAATGGGAATGAATCTGATTAGAGAAATACAATAAATAAATAAATAAATAAATGTGGTAATTGGGGGTACTACAGGGGTCCATTTTTGGGCCAACTCTTTTTGACATATACATCAATGACATAGATGAGAATATTACAAACCACACCATCAAATTTACAGATGATAAAGATGTCATCTGTAACAATCGACTTGAGAATGGTCCAAGACGGACCGAAACGTTGTCGTCCCTTCACCTTCCAGTGTTTGGTCTGGTCAAACTACTTCAGCCACGATATTGTGATTCATCGCCTGCACAAAGAGCAAGGGTTTCAAGCTCAATAAGCTACAATGTAGGACTGAGAATAGGACATGTTTTTTCACCCACAAGGTTATAAACTGATGGAACCGCTTACCCGCCGAAACCGTAAATGCCAAAACTCTGTTAAATTTTAAAATCCAACTGAAAAAATCATTAGGGCAAATGGGGGGCCGTTTGACAAACCGCCTGCTTCTTGTCGTCGATGAGGCCAATAGAGAATTAGTGGCCCACAGGTAAATTCAAACCCATGGAACCGCCTACCCGCTGTAGCTGTAACTGCCAAATTTCAAAATCCATCTGCACAAAATCATCAGGACAAATGGGAGGTTTCTTCGACAAGCCGCCGGCTTCCTGTCACCGAGTCCACCAGGGAGATAATGGCCCTCAGGAAAATTCAGATAAATGTTAAATTTAGGTATATTGTGTTTGCGAGCATGTCCTGACTCTAGGTCACAGTTTATAATTAGTTGCTCAGTGGCATTTTGAACTAGAACTAGGTATACACAAAAAATATGTTGTTATCCTAATCTACATGAAGGATTACAGAGTGTAGCTTACAAGATATCTATGAATTCATGTCGTCAAAAAGCTGAAGTGATTGAAGCAGGTGAATGAAGCAGTAGTGAGACTGCGTGAAGCAGTGAATGAAGCAGCAGGGCTTGTAGGCTGGGCTAGCAGAGCTGTAAACAAGACGAGTGTGGCGGAAGATTCATATCAAAGTTGTTTCCTGACTCTCCCTCGGAAAACATTAATTTTCCCGGAAACCCTTATTAGCTTACCTCTGAGACACCAGCCATGGACGCCACGGGCAGAGGAGAGCGTTGAGTGCCGACCACAAGTCACTGTCACCTCTGCAATTATATGGGCGCGGCAGCCATGTTCAATCAAAAGTACCAACCTAGTACCTCGAATCTTGCATAAAGATTAAATTAAGCCGAAACTGAGACTCGTAGGAGACCTCTGCAATCAGGGTAAAGCTGCTTAAAATGATTTTGTGTTTGTCAAATATAGATGGTAGTGTACATGATGCAGTTCATACTGAATATAATTTTCGGCTATTGATAGGTTGCTGATGTCTATTTTACACTAGTTATAATATAATAGTAATAATGTTTATTTAAGAAATATAAAGGTGAAATTAATACAGGGGTTAACTGTTACAGAGGATGTAACAAATACCCAAAGCGTTTCGGACATAATTTAAAATAATTCGGTTAACTTATCTTTTGTCATTCCACCCAGAATGTTGAATGACCTTCCCAATCATGTCAAATGCTGTACCCCACTCAACCAGTTTATGAGAAAAACTAAGTACTACCTAATAAACTCCATGTAGCATACCTTAACTTACAAATGTCAACCTATGTCTTGCTATTTTTAAACAGTATTGATTATTGACCAACTTGTTTAACTGCTGCTATCTGCCATGTATAAACTTAAAAAAAAATTAATCTTCTGTTTATTTAGTTAAAATTTCTTCTGTTGTTCTGTTGCATTTTCTGCTGTTCAGTCCATCATGTAATTATTATCATTCTTCAAATCAATTTGTGATTTTGTTCTTAATTTGTATTAAGTTTTAGGCTAAGATTTTTCCTACAACTTGCCCGAAATGCTGTGCATACTAGTGGCTTTAGGCATTGTATGTACTAACTCTGTCTATAAATTTCTCCATCTCTATAGTATAAATTTTGTTTCTTGTCCGAACCACTATGCATGCTAGTGGCTTTACAAGAATGTAAATTCAACTTAATTTCTATGTTCTCTGTTAATCCCCCAATGTACCTTCTTGTATATAAATAAATAAATAAATTAAATAAATACAACATTATCTTTGTAACTCATTTTCAATGTACTGTATGTACCTATACCTGAATAAACATCCTATCTTATTTATAGGGTTGATGGGGGATAAACGCATATTAAACGAGAAGCAAGCTAACAAATTGGATTGTTAAGAAAGTTAGCAAATGATATACAGATTTTAAGTGTTAATGAAGAAAGGCATAGACTATTATAGAATCATAAAACACTTATATAATACTACACTTATTTTGTGTATTAAATAAGGGTCCCGGTAGCACAGTCGTGTTTGTTTTTGACACACAATTGAGAATTCTGGGTTCGAATCCTGGCGAACAGAAATGGTTAGGCACATTTCCATTCACCTAATGCCTCTGTTTACCTAACAGTGAGTAGGTACTCAGGAGTTAGTCTGCTTGTTGTGGGATTGCATCCTGGGCAGGGTCAGTAATTTGGCCTTAGGGGGATGGAGGATGGACCTCGATAAAGGCCAAACATGTATGAATACACTCTGGCTTCCTGTCCCTCAACACAATGAATTAAATTAAATTATTAAATAATATTACACTTATTTTATGTATCATGTAATTCTTAAATGTTACTGTTAAAAATATTGTCTTTATTTCCTTGATGTATCATACTTACCTTTTCCTGGTGGACAGGTCATTAATGGGTCAAGATGGCAGAAGGAATGCTATCATTATCCTGGAACAATCACAGTGCCACCTTCTGCCAGACCTTGGCTTCACTCAGAGCTAAGGTAATTACTCATTTCTATGCACTTAAATTCATTGTATTTTGTGAAGATTATCATTAAATGATAATTTTGCTCCAAATTCACTCCTTGCCTAAAAGAAGTTTATTAATGGGCATGACCCACACAACTGACAATAAGCCACATGGTGGTGCTTCATTAAGTTTTGGATATTAGGCATTATTGGAAAAGGTCACACTTATGAGAGGTAACTTCAGAATTGTCTGAATTGTGTAGGTGAATTTATATACAGTACTCATTTTTGTATTTGCATGCATGTGTGTCCTCGTGCTTAAGTAAAGAATTTCAAGGGACAGAAATACCCATATGTACACATGTACATTATTTCAGCCCATCCTCCTGTTTAGATAGTGCTTATACATAGTAACAGTGTGGACCATTGTACATATATTGACGTATTGGACAATTAGTAAGTAGAATTTGGTACTATTGAATTTGGACAAACTGGAAGAGATTTTGTATTTTCGCTAAACCTAACCTAAGCTAACCATCCTATACCTGACACATGCTATATGAGGCCTAATATAGTACATATGTGTGATATACTAGGCCTAGGAATATTTAGGCATGGTTTTTATTTATATTTTTTTTCCAGACTATGAAGTGAATAGCACGAAATTCTACTAAATGTCCATTACATCAATATTGTACAATTCAACGATTCACAGCGTCACAAAAAATATTATCTAATTAAATAAGGATGAGTTGCATTATTTAAGTGCTTTAAATATTTTTCTTTCTTTCGCTCAGGAGAGGTACACAGATGTGACGGTGACATGCGAAGGCAAGTTTTACCCAGTGCATAAACTTGTGTTGTCAACCTGTAGTGAATACTTTGAAAATATGTTTGAACACACACCTTGCAAGCATCCTGTCATTGTGCTGAGAGATGTCCAGTGTGATGAACTAGAGGCCTTGCTGAGCTACATGTATGCTGGTGTTGTAAGTGTTGCACAAACTGACTTACCTAGACTTATAAAAGTGGCTGAACTCCTGAAAATTAAAGGTCTTGCTGTTCCTGATGAACCACCCAGGAGTAGTAGTGGGTCAGCAATTAGCCAAAAAAGTGGCACTGGTAGAAGTAGTCCACACGTTCCAAGAAGACATTCACAGTGTTCTACTAATGTAAGACACAGTCCATATCCTAAAAGTAGATCCGCCCATAGTTCTAGTGATAAAGTTAGTCCACATCCGAAACGTCAATGTAGTGAAGAAGAAAACACAGTGTTGCAAGACAGGCTTGGTGTTCCTTTACTTAGTCCATCCAGATCAAAGGAGTCCTCACACAGCACAGAGACTGATTGGCAGGCAAAGCCCTGTAGATCCTCGATGGAAGAGCAACAGTTGGGTACTCAAAGAGATGGAGAATTGGGCAGAAAAACAGAAACAAGTTTGCAGGGACCTCCATCATCACAGGTTTGTAATCTAGCATTTATTTTTTAGATCTATTGTTTTGTGATTGATTGACTGGTATATAGGACTAATTATTCTGTTATTTCAGCATGAAAATCATTGTCACACTTTGTGAGTGTGAAGGAATGGAAATTGGATATGGAGAGATATCTTGGGAATATGTAAGTAGCTTACTTAGTGATATAAGCTTGACTGAAATGTGTTTAGAAGATTTTTATTAACATTTAAACCCTCTAAATATTTCAGGGTTCAGCATGTGAAATATTAATAAAAGAGGAAGTGATGGAGGATTTAATGGATAGTGAGGCAAATTCATCTGAGACTGGACTAGACTATGCTTCATTGATTAGTAATTCAGAATTGCCAACTGCAGCTAGAGGTGACCAAGGATTATCCCCTGCATCTAGAAGTGATCATTTAGATTCTACCAGTTTAATGAAGATTGAGCAATCTAATGCAGGCCAGCAACCTGGAAGTCGGACTGGCCTAAGACAGGACACCTATACGGAAGCATTAAATGCAACTTTACCAGGACCTTCAGACCTTCAAGGAGTAAGTATTGTTCTAATCTCATCTGTCATTGATTGTTGATTTTCAGTTGTTCTTTGATGTTATGAACCCATTGATGGAATTACAATTCAATTACAATTAGTAGAGGTTACAATTCACCTAGTAGTTACAATTCGATAGTAGAGGGAAAATTTATTGCTTTTTTATTTATTTATTAGGTCTGCCAGAGAGGGAGATACTTTTTGGTGTTGTGCTTTTTAATGTAAAGTGCTGTGTCATTGGTAAGGATATCCAAGGGTTTTCACAAAATTTTTTGTTTCTTTTATTTTTCTGGGAGGTGGCTTAACCTCTGTGGCTTCCTGGGCTTAATTCTGATTCCATGAAGCCTTAGCCCAGCACACCAGGCTTCTGAGACTCGACCATTGGTCACTTGGAGCTAGGCGCAGAATCTGGTTCACTTTAAGAGACAAGGGGAGCAGGGTGATCAGATACAGTACCTCCAAACATGGAAAAATCACCCCAGAGAATATAAGCACAACAAAACAAGTGACTGCTTAAAAGGAATTAAAGGAGTTACTATTCATAACTTAATATTTCTCATGGTCTATGAAATTCACAGAGCAAACTTTAAATTTCAACCAATAAACATCTACCAGGTGAACTTGTCTATAGAGATTTACCCTCATTGCCAGTACAGGTATTTCTCTTGATTGAGCCCCTTAAATTTTATTTTTTCAGTGCTAGGACCACAACACCAAATGAACCAGGCCTATTGACTTTCCCATGCCCAAAATTCTTTCTTAAACTCAAGATTTTTCTATGAAATATCTTGGAAACTCCTGTGGCTGCATTTTTTCTTGTTTAGAGGGATCCGTTACATATAGGTATGGATTTTGGGAGGTATCACAGTACATATAAAAATAATGCTTTATAGTAATAATAAAAATTTGCTTCGGCATTTTCCACATTAATGTTAACAATATTACTCTTATTTCAGTGGTTTGGCGGCGAGGCTATGACTAGCATATCTATGGCTAAAGGTGGTATTGATGATGAAACTCAGATGTTCACTCAGGACATGCTGCAACAACCACACGAGAGGGTGAGTGTTATCTTCTAATATTATAGGAAAGTCAGAAGTTCGTATTCTGGGGGTTGACTACTCATACTTATAAGATAAAGCTTTCAAAGAAGTTTAAATTGTTTTCTTTATACAGTGAACCCTTAATTTGCATTGATGCTGCATTCAACAGACTTTCCAATATTTGGGTGTCCACTCCTATCTTAGCAAAACACACACACAAAGTACTGTACTGCAGAATACTATAGTACTGCCACCACTTCTGCACCACTCGTGTGGTAATTACAGTACTTGTTATAACGTCAGGCCTCACTGTGTATAAATGATGCATTCTGGGTAAGCCTAGGCTTCATCAGATTTGCACAAAATTAACACAAGTTTATACTAGAAATAAGAATGCATTCCAGAGACTTCCAAGTCATCCTTCATTCTATTTCTCTCTCTAACAAAGACATACCACCTTGAACATCATTCTACCACCACTGTTCTTTTTCTATGAGATAGAAGCCCTAAACAAGAAAATATTCAACACAGAATATACAGTCATACTAAATGAAACAAGTATAAATGAAAACCTAAATGAAAACCAGAATGAAAACCAAAATGAAAGTCTAAATGTAGATCCATCCATCTACTCGTCTATCCAACTATATCCATCTACTACTAGTATAGTTATCCATCCATCTATCTTTCCATCTACTCGTCTATCTATCCATCTATCTACATCCTCCCTACTCCTTCCTGTCCCTCCTCTTCCCCTGTCCCCAATCCCTTGTCCTCCACACTCACCCCTCCTTTCCATCCCCCCCCCCCATCTCCCATCCTCCATCTCACCTCTCCTGTCTCTTCCACCTCTCCTTGTCTTCCCCACCCTTCCCCCTACCCTTGTCTTTCCCACCCTTCCCCCTTCTGCCCCTCTCGCTCTTCCCATCATCCTTCCTCTTTCCCCCTCCAGTGTTTCCCCTCATCCTCCCTCCCACGTCATCCCCTCTCTCTGTTCCCCCCTTCCCACAGTACCTTTCTTCCCCAGTACTTCCTCCCCCCCCAGCCACTCGCACATATAATATTATATGATAATATATAAAATATAATATTATGGAGCAATAAAACTTTTTAAATTTTTTTTCTGCCTACTGACAAAAAAGTCTTTGGCCATCTCCACCAATATTTCACACTTGACCAGAATTGAATTTGAGAATTGGATGGGTGTGAATAATTAATAATTCTTAAATCATTTAACTTTTGCCTACCTTCACCTGTCATTGTCCATCCCCATACCTCTGACAATTTCCCCTCCAAATGTGGGTAATGCCAGTTCCAAGCATCTATCCTCCAACTTTGGACAGACAGACATTCTCTCTTATAGTATAGATAAATAGAATAACAACAGTAAGGAATAATGTGATAAAAACAAATACAAAATACAAATACAAATATTTATTCAGGTAAAGTACATACCCTGTACATACAAAGTGAGATACAAAAAGTTGATGGATTAATAGATAGAGCTAGTACATACAATGCTCTAAGCCACTATTACGCAAAGCGTTTCGGGCAGAAAAAAGCCACTATTACACAAAGCGTTTCAGGCATTTCCTGTACCATAAGGCTGAGGTGGAAAGATAACATTCTTATGAAAAACGACAAGGATGTGTGTGGAGAATTCAATGAGAGATCTCAAGAGGTCTGCAAAAAAGAACCACTGTAAAGATAAAAAATGCAAGACAAAAGTTGGCAGAAGAAGCACGAGGTGACATGGTAATCACTGTAGATGAGGTCAGAAAACACCTGAAAGAACTAGTAGATGCAATAGAAGCAACAAGATTTGCCTTAATATGATTATAACTATTAAAAGTGGTTTGCAGATATACTTTGTCATCCACTAACTAGACTTTTAAATAATGCACTTTGAGACAAGAGAATATAATATACATATCACATACACGAGTCCCATAATTTTGAGCAAAGCGATGTTCCACACACTGAACTATATAAATTCCACAAATTATATACTTTTGAATAATAAAACAGCAAAAAACTAGAGAAGAAACGAATGCGAAAGATCAGAATAATTGTGACACATTATATAAGCGGCAACTGCCGTCCCACGAGGTGACCAGGCCGAGTGACCCCGAGCGCTCCATTGCTCGGCGCCCATAATTTGCTCAACTTCCCAGCTCCATCACAGCTAAAGTATGTCACATTCAATATTTTTTTTAGTTTTCTGTGATCAGAGACTGCGTTTTAACAATATAAGAAGAGAAAATAATTTTGGGGAAACAATTTATTTTCGGCACACCACGGATTTGTTGTATTTTAATGCAGAGCAGTGCAGTGGTTAAGACTATATAGCACTTGGAAGGGGTCAGGATAAGGATTTGGGATGGGACGGGGGAATGGAATGGTGCCCAACCACTTGGACGGTTAGGGATTGAACGCCAGCCTGCATGAAGCGAGACTGTCGCTCTACTGTCCAACCCAAGTGGTTGGGCACAGAGAGAAGGGGGGGCGGGTAAGGAAGGAGTGGCCTCGCTCATCTTATATCGTTATTATTTATAGGCACACCAAATTTTTATTCATATACTGTATTAGTTGTTAGTTTTTCACTATGCATAAACATTTATTGTACCATTTCCTATAAGAAAAATTTGGTGATTAATTGCCCAATAAGGACAAATTTTTGTAAACCCAGATTTAATGCAAATACCTGAAAGTAAAGATAAGTACACTTCCTGAAAATGTGAGCATCACTTGTGCCCTCACAGGCAGCTCGCTTATTGTTTTTCATTACTATACGGTAAATACATATAAACTTTGTATTTCTTACACTGTATTTTAAAACATGTCTTCATATTTACATTTATATAATTTAAAAAAATAGATCATGGCAGCACCAATGTAGAAATGTGCAAACGACTTCTTAGGTTATAAAGATAACAAATAAACCGTGTTCATACAACTTTGTGCTTTGCCCACTCATAATGATTGAGGATTCACTATACCAAATTAATGTTGAAGAAAACTTTTGTAAATTAAGAAGTTATTGTAACCTCCAGGACGACTTCTTGTACTTTAAGAGTAGTTGATCACCGGTTAGAGAAAATAGCTGTTACATCTACTATGTAATTAGCTCAACAACTTTTCAGCATATAAAATGCTCTTACGGTATTTGGCCACAGTCAACCAAGAAGACTGTTTATTTGCAGTAATATTAAATATATTTTATTACATACACACTATTGTTTTCCAGTACAATGGAAGCCCACTGACCACTGTGTATGTTACCGGTAATTTTATATAATTATGATGTTTTGCTCAATATAGTGTAGAAGGTTGTGTTTTAATATTCTATTACAGTCCAAGGGAATGTCTCATAATTTTATGGTAAGCTGCTTCTTTAGTAATATGTTGCTTTATTATATCCAATACTTTGTATTTGCAAAACTGTGTTTAATCCTAGTGTAATAAATTTACTGCTGTAATTATGGACAAAAGACAGGAATGATATTCTTCAAAAGATACTTCCCAAAGCAGCTTTAGAAAGCTGCCATATTGATTATAAGATCTTAAATGTTTATTAAATCTAATGTTTTTAAAGTAATCAAGAAGTTGAAATCATTATTTTTACGCATAATCTCAGTTGACCTCTTAATATTGCATACAATATTACCAAATACTGTACTGTATTAAAAATGATAAGTAGTAATTGTATAATGTGTTCTCATTTTGACACTACAGTAATTATAATACTAAAATATGGTTTATTAGAGACCCTGCCTCTTCTATAAGGTCCTTCAATTGAGCATACAGTTTGATTTTTGCTGGTTGGTGAGTTTTAAATTGGCATTAGCTCATTGCTAAAGCGTAAAAAGAACTATTCTTGTATGACATGCCTCTGTTCATTTTATTGTGAAAAGCACACAAATTTCTTAAATCATTAACATATTTTCCCAGCATATGATCTGTGCCTTGTTTACATCTTTTGCCAACACATTTGCACTCATAATTGCAACAAAGGGTGAAGTATCTTGAGTCAAGTTGAGTTACTGTACCTTTATACCAAGCAGCAATGATTCATTCAAGATTTCCTGAAACAACAGGGGCTAAATGCACTGGAATACAGAAATGTATTTACAGTTCTTAAAATTAAAACCGAAACAATAAATGCAGATGCTATATACATTGAAATTTATTATGGATTTACTTGGGCAGTAAAATTCAGACATTCTGCAGTTTTTGAGAATTAGAATTGTCTTAACACTTTAGCATTCCAGTGATGCTAAAATGCGACAGTCATCTCGAAATTCCCCCCCTTTTTTTAGCACAGTGTAAGTATAACTTATCAGGGGACCATCCAGAGATTACCTCAGACAACTATCTACCACTCAAGACATTAATTGCTTTGCTTGTGAGAATTTTCACTATGCTAATTACCTGCTGGAAAAGTATGAAAGCTATTTTTTTTTCAGTAACATTGACTGATAATGTCTACACATTTCATTTTTTTATGTTGAAAAATAAGTGGAAAATTTTGAGGAATATATGAGGAATGTTGAAATGTTCGTGAAAATTTGTATATTTAGTACCATCACAAATATTCTATTATCAAATCACATATTATTTTGCATCTGTACTCTAGCAAATTCATTTACCAACATTTTGACACAAGACTTGAGTAATAACCTTAAACTATCAGTAAACAATCAAGAGAGAGAATAAACATGAGATGCCCGGAATGTGTATGGTCTGGAATGCACTGACAAATTAAAACATCGAAGTGGTTACTCAGATGTATGTTAACCCCTAAGCTGCTGGGGCTATTTGGTCTTCAACACCCACAGGTAAAAAAATTGTCCTATAAAACTGAATTTGTGTTCCCTGACCATGAGAAAAAAATTTAATTATACTTACCAATGACGTAAATGAGCCAACAAGATGAGCCATGACGTCATACTCAACATGGTTGCTCATGCAATGAGCATCCCGGAGGTGTCACGTGTGGTCTTCAAGCAGCCAGAGAT